TCCACCAGAGTCGCCATTGTATACTCCATCACTTCCGGCTGTATCGATGCAGATGTTCCCGTCTGTGTACACGAACCCGAAAAACCCTCGAAGCGTTTGGCAGAATGTCTGGTTCATGATGTCGACCCGTAGCTGTTGAAGATTCATCACGTCATCGTAATAAGCTGTTAAATTGCGTGTTGTCGAACCCCAACCGGTTACAAAACACGGCGAGGCGTCCCAAATATTGCCTACAGGTAGACAAATCGGCTTCACGGAGTCGGAAAAATTTAACGGCTTTTCAAGTTTTACCAGTGCGATATCGTTCAAGAAGGTTTTATTCTCAAAATCTTTGTGCTTAAAAGTCTTTATCGAATGCACATCCATTGTTCTTTGGAGATTTGAGTTTCCATAAAATATTTCTTCATGCTTCGAATGCTGATGAATGCAATGCGCAGCCGTTAAGATCCACTCCTTATTTAGAATCGAACCCCCGCAAATGATATTCTCACTCAGGATGTAAACTTGCCATGGCCAGGCGTACATTGGAGCGTCGTTGCCATTGACGACGTGTTGTGATTGGTCGTCGACAGACACCCCACAGTCCCCCTGCTCTATCAATGGCATCGAGGGTAAGTCTGTGTCTAGCGTCGGTGCACGGTGGTGCAAATCGTATTCCTTCTTGTAGAACTCGAGAGGAAACTGCGTGGAACAACTTGTCTCTTCTGATCTAACCAACGTTGTCTCAGCACTCAGACACAGCAAGAACTGAGAATTTCAAAATCAAATGTAAGATTACATTAAACATTGGGTAAAGATTTTAACAACTTTATTTTTCTTATTTAAAAAGAAAAATATAAGTTTAATGAGATTTAGTTTAAGTACTCGATGACGTCTTTGACAGGAGATTATTTCTATGGGAATGCCCAAAGATTATTTCTATGGGAATGCCCAAAAAGAAATACCTAACCTGAAAACTAATCAGTCGAGATCGTAGATTGAGTGGTAATTATATGTCGGTCTTAAAACATTTGTGTTGGGTTGGCTGTGGAGTGGAAGGCCGAGGTAAAGTGTGTGTGTATGTATGGTGTGTGTGTGTGTGTGTGTGTGTGTATGGGGTGTGGTGATATTGTAAACTGAAGATTTTCACTTTATATACCACTAAAGTTGTTATTGAAGTTAATCAAAAGTAAGATGTGTTATATTGTTTCCAATGCGATTTATTTTGTGTATTTTACATTGTGATTGTGTTGTCATTATGATTAGTTGCACTTGTTACAATTCCATTGGTTGTACTCTCTATATTCATTTTGTTTGTCAGGTTGCATTAAGTTTTATTGGCCATATCGCATTAAGCTTTGTTGGCCATGTTTCATAAAGTTTTGTTGGCCATGTTTCATAAAGTTTTGTTGGCCAGATTGCATTAACTTTTGTTGGCCATATTGCATTAAGTTTTGTTGGCCATATCGCATTAAGCTTTGTTGGCCATGTTTCATAAAGTTTTGTTGGCCATGTTTCATAAAGTTTTGTTGGCCAGATTGCATAAAGTTTTGTTGGCCATATTGCATTAAGTTTTGTTGGCCATATCGCATTAAGTTTTGTTGGCCATGTTTCATAAAGCTTTGTTGGCCATGTTTCATAAAGTTTTGTTGGCCAGATTGCATTAAGTTTTGTTGGCCATGTTTCATAAAGTTTTGTTGGCCATGTTTCATAAAGTTTTGTTGGCCAGATTGCATTAAATTTTGTTGGCGATGTTTGAGTATCCACCCTGAAATATGTGACTGTTTTACATTTATATTTGTTATATTGCCTGTATATGTGATAGTTTTAATGTTTATTTTTGAAAAATCTCGATAGTAGAATAATGTATGAATACAAGTTTTACCAAATAAAATTGTTTCATATACATGGCTCCATTTTCCTCACACCGGAAGAGCATAAAAAAGGACATTCTGTAATTAAAAGAATTCCAATTAGTGAATTGGAATTGTATTTTGTTATACAAATATAAATGTAATCATACGTATAATATTAAAATCTACAAGAACAAATATCTCGAATTTCTGTTCGATGTCGAAATGTATCACTATGTTTATTAATTAGCTTGTATCAATATGTTTATTAATTAGCTTGTATCAATATGTTTATTAATTAGCTTGACTACAGAACTCTTTCATGGCTACTTAGGACAACCAAACTTTGAACCTACAACTGAACTGTTTCTTGACCCTACGATAAAGATAGTTGTTGTTGTACATGTATTCCACGATTTTATCGATATCAGTGTACTTTAATGAATGGATTGAAATCCAATTAGAACGGTGGTTTTTGGTGCACACGACAAAGAGTTCTTTTCCCGCACTTTGTTCATTGGAGCCTACACAATATTAGACGAATGAATGTATTTGCTATTTAGTGTGTACCTATTTTTAATCACGCTATTTTAAAATCAATCTAGTGGGAGAAAGGGGGCGGGGAAATAAATAAAAAACTGTTCTAAAAGAATATGTACATCAAACATTTACAAGGGCGATAAATTATCGACATACTTGGACATCGGACATTCATCTCACAAGGGCATTGAGTTATCGACATACTTGGGCATCGGACTTTCATCTCACAAGGGCATTGAGTTATCGGCATACTTGGGCATCGGACTTTTATCTCATAAGGGCATTGAGTTATCGACATCACACTACACGGTTTTATTAAGCATAAGCAGAGTTTCTTCCAGACTTTCTTCTCCGGGGGGGGGGACTAAATTTTCCGGAGGGGGGTGGGCAGACACCGATAAAAGTATATACTTTCTATATAAATTCCATTTTGGTCGGATGGGGGGGGGGGGGGGTGGGGCTGAGACACCTCCTACCCCCCTTCCCCCAAGAGATGCCTGGAAAAGAACTCTGTTCTAAAAGGCATTTTAACGGGCTGTTTAATACAAAAATGTGAAAATGAGTTTAATCGATGATTCTCAAACAGTGTTATGTAATTTAAAATGTAACGATAATGTTATCGCTTGCCACATTTAAAAAAAAAAAAAATATTTAAAAAAAAATAGTATGATTACATCGATTTTTCAAGCCTATTGATTTTGCTTTTTTAAGCATAGCTATGGTGCTCACTTCATTACTCATTAAATCTCATAATATGAGCCACACGATGGAAAATATTTTTAAAATAAATGTCTACTTGCAAATATACCCGAGAAATACAGCAGTAATTACACGAAACAAAGATCGTTGCCTTACATATTACAAAATACGTTTCAGTTAAGCTTCGATTGTGGCCAGTGCTTTTACAATTAAAATAGGCAGTGGTTATTATCCTTTGAGTAGGAGGCTTGTTGAATTTTTGTATGTTCAATAGCGTGATAAAAACAAGCTTTAGAATCTCTCCTGTTCAAGACTTGTTATATGCTTTCAATTTATTGTATGAATAATTTATGAAAATTTATTTCTAAACAAAAACAATGGGACTTCTAATCAATAAAACTTTGAAATCCTACAATAGGTTATACGTAAAGAGAATGTTATGCTTAGAACGGACCACTACTAGTTCGTCTATTGAGGGAATAATTTGTATGGAAACCTTACATCTACTGGGGAAACTTATTTATTTCATTCAACACTTTTAAATGAAAATATAATTTTAGTACTGCTTATTAAGCTTAATCAAATATAGTACAATAATTCTGAAACACATTAATGACAAAATGATTTTATTTTTGTCAAAATTGATTACGACTTGAGTTTTAAAACAAACCAAAACAAAACAATTATTCTAATATTCTAATGTTATAATCTTGAAAAAGAAACGGAAGATTTAGCCCCAGTGAAGGTTAAACAAACAGATCTTGTAACATACGACAAAAACTTTAACCTAACACAGGCTGTAGCTAATAAACGGCATAACGAACACTTTTTATAATCAGAAACAGGTAATTAAAGTATAAACTCAATAAATAACAAGGTTTATTCAGATCTATTCTCCAGGTTGGATTTCGATGCTTGAAGTAAATATACAAACAGTCAAGTGGCATTGTCAACAATCACGCCTTCACAATGATGTTATCATCATCCCAAATCATTTAATCAGCGAGAATAGTGTCAGTGATCCACTTGACGTATTTAGACACTGCCGTGAACGCGTCATGGGCCCATTCAAATCCCGTTGGGGGCACCGTGTTGACTATACCCAAAATGTAGTACCTCCCATTTTTGATACAGCTCAAGGATCCTCCAGAGTCGCCTAGAAATACACCGGAATTATCAGCTGAGTGAATGCAGAAGTTGCCATCTGTAAAATTCACGCCTAAAAACCGGCGAATAGTTTGACAGAGTGTCTGGTTCAATATCTCGACCTTAAGCTGTTGGAGGACAGGTGGCATCCTGAAGTCTGATACCCATAGCAAAACACGGCGCAGCGTCACTGATGTTACCTTCAGGGAGACATATCGGCCTTACAGATTCGGAAAAATTTAACGGCTCTTGAAGTTTTAACTGTGCGATGTCGTTAAGATAAGTTGCATTCTCGTAATCTTTGTGAATAATTAATTTACTCGATTGGGCATGTTCTAGCAAATTAAAAACAGTTGAACCATAAAATACTATGATTCTAGTTTTGTCTACGACACAATGTGCAGCCGTTAGTATCCACTCTCTAGTTAGAAGAGAACCACCACACGTACCAGACAAACTGAAGATGAAAACTTGCCATGGCCAGGCTTTCTCGGGAGCGTCGTTGCCATTGATGATTTGTTGTGATTGGTCGTTGACAGACACCCCACATTCTCCTTGCTGTAATAATGGCGGCGTGGGTAAGTTTTTGTCTAGCGTTGGTGGGGGGTAACTGTAATGGTAATATTGTCTGTGTATATCTAAGGGAAGCTGAATCGATGAGCATTCATTGTCTTATGGTTTAATCAAGTGAAGCTTGACATAGCACAGGAATATCTGGGAAGTTAAAATCAACAATGTTATCACACATACACAGAGGCGTAGCGAGGGGGGGCGGCGGTGCGGACCGCACCGGGTGACACCATTTAGGGGGGGGGTGACACCAAGGCAAAAAATAGCAAAATATATAGAGAAAAACTTGAGGGGGGGGGTGCAAATCGAAAGTTTGAGGGGGAGGGGTGCAAATCGAAAATTTGAAAGTTTGTCCCCGGGAAGGGTTTAATTGGCCCCGGGGGGGGGGGGGGTGACACCATTACGTGCCGCACCGGGTGATACCCGGCCTCGCTACGCTACTGCACATACACATATGTGTCGAGTATACGTTACAGGTCAGCCTATTGGGCAGAAAGCCACATGAAACATCATCTGTATCAGTCAGTGTTTATGTTTGCTTAGTCTGAAAAATCTAGAGTTCTTAGCGACTAAATTCATTAACATGGGTAGATAAAAATTATTTATTATTGCACTAATGGACAGGCCTAGATGACTAACGGCTGAACACTAGTGGGGATGGGTGGGATGCAATGCTGCTTTATCTTGCAACTCTCACTAGACGTGTAGACAACGAAGGTACTCACGATTAAAACTACACAAAATAATGCAATTTGTTTCTTAAATTAACAGTACGACAACGTTCAGAATAATGGAAACTTGAAAAACGTTTGAAAAAAATCGTACCGAAAATAAATATTTTATATTCATTTCGTCATTTGCAAACGTTTGTTTGAAGCAGATGTGCTCATCTATCCATGACAATCTGTAACTAAAAAATATCAATGAGTGGTGACAATTTGAGAATTATAGTGCAAGTATAAGGATCAACTAGGTCAGGAGTCTCCAAACTACGGCCCGCGGGCCGGATGCGGCCCGCGAGGTCCTCTCATCCGGCCCTCGGAGAGCTTTTTGTCCACGGAAAAAAAATGTTTGTTGTAGGTGGCTGCGGAAAAATGCCACCCCAATGATATACCTGGAAGAAACTCTGGCCCCCGAACTTATATTTAATAGTTAATGCGGCCCTCGGGCTGAAAAGTTTGGAGACCCCTGAACTAGGTTATCAACAAAGTCTTAAACCTAAGAACAAGATATTTAATTTGATTTTAAAAAAAACAAAAAACGAAACATCCCAGAGATTAGAGCTTTTGACTTGACCACATTCCTAAACAACCAAGTGTATACATTTCTTGTGTATATGTGTATTATAACTGAAATAGTTTTGATCTCAGTGATAGCCCTAAACACACACACACACAAACACAAACACACATAATTTATTTGCCAAATGCCGTAATCCTAAATCCATTGGACACCAGCGAGAAAAGTCTCAAAGGTATTTGAGAGGTGTATAAATTCATTTAAAAATCATGCACAGCGTAGTTACAATTAATAAGGTTATAAAATCCTGTCTATCTGGTTTTTTTCGGACTTTACTAAAGATTGGATGTATTTGATGTTTATAATATTTTCGGTAACTAAATAAAAATTTAAAAAAAAGCAAAAACAATTTGGTTTTCACGTGTAATGGCGACATAAACAATGGCATCCTGCTATTGGATAGGCCGCCATTGATTTTATTGTACACATTGTAAGCTAAAAATAGAAAACTAGGTCATGGGGTTTTAAATTTGCATTGTTATTTAAAAACTTGATCTGCAAAGTTTTGTAAACAAATAGTTATCGATCACTAAGTTACTGTACAGCCAATCAATATTTGTCTTACGAAAGTGAAACATCCGGTTATAACTTAGGCTTGATGAAAATAAATAGAAATGTAGCCTTAAACTCAACAAATTATTTTCAAGTTCTCTGGATTTGCAACTTTTATAGCATTTATTCTAAAAATATAAAATTTCTAAATTAATTTTAGGCTTAAGTTTTTATTTTTTTTTTTTTTTTACGGTCTAAATCTAAAAAGCACGTTTTTATTCCATGTCAACAACATTGGGGACGGAATCTCGTCAACTCGCTCGCCTCCATTCTATTAAATGCTGTAAATCTAAAATTCGCTTTACCAAATAGACTATTATCTCTTAATATAATTTATAATCTTGACTGTGTGTTCAAATGGTAGAGCTTACTTATTTAACTTTAATTTTCAGAACTTTCTCAATTGTTCATCGTTTATCTTAAACTACTAATAACTCAAGCAAACAAACTGGAATAAACAACCACCAGTAACTAATGCTGGATAAATATTTGAGTCTGCTAATTAATTTTTTATTTTTATTTGTGTATGTTCTCAAAGTTGCGACTGTTTTGTTGCGGTGTATTGTGGTGTGTGCTTTTGGGACAAAGAGATAATGGTGTGATTTTTTTTAAAGTAATGGACATTTTGGATATCCAAAGGCAGGGTACGATGCTTATTTCTGAACGGCAAAGCTCGATTTCGTAGTAGACTTATAACGCATAAAGAAACTTAAATTTTCTAATCAGCCCATTTTGACTCTCTAGTACATGAAGTATAGAGGAAGGATTGTAATCGTGCAAAAAATAAACGAATCAAGATTTTCACAGATCTCGACGTTTCATAACTCCTTGGGTCTGAAAAACATAGTTTTACAATGTTGTCCTTGTGTGTGTGTGTGTGTGTGTGTATCTGTCTGTCTGTCCGGCCTTTCGTCCGTCAGTCCATTTGCCTGCCTGCCTGCCGGCCTGTCTGTCTGTCTGTTTGTCTGTCTGTCTGTACAATAATTCTGAAACGCATCAATGATAAAACGATTTTTTTTATTTTTGTTAAAATTGATTACAACTTGAATTTTAAAACAAACCAAAACAAAACAATTATGCTAAGTTTTAGTGTTAGAATCTTGAATAAGAAACAGTACATTTAGTCGAGGTGTAGGTTGAACAAACAGATCTTGTAACATCCGACAAAAACTTTCCCATATCAAGCATAATAAACATACCCAGCAATTGTTATTAGCAGAAACAAATACTAAAAGCATACGATCAATCATTAACAAGATTTATTTAAAAAATTTCTCTAAGCATCTTATCATTATTCAATCAATCTAAATCTAGTGGCGGTACCACCATTTAATTAGCGAGAATAGTTTCAGTGATCCACTTCACGTATTTAGATACTGCCGTGAACGCGTCATGAAGCCACTCGAACCCAATGGGGGGACCTGTGTTTGTGACTCCCAGAATGTAGTACCGCCCGTTCTTCATACAGCTCAAGGATCCCCCTGAGTCCCCTTGGAACACACCTGAACTACCAGGTGAGTTAATACAGAAGTTGCCATCTGTAAAATTCACGCCTAAAAACTGGCGAATAGTTTGACAGAGTGTCTGGTTCAATATCTCGACCTTAAGCTGTTGGAGGACAGGTGGCATCCTAAAGTCTGAGACATTACGTGTCGTTGATCCCCAACCAATAGCAAAACACGGCGCAGCGTCCCAGATGTTGCCTTCAGGTAGACATATCGGCCTTACAGATTCGGAAAAATTTAACGGCTCTTGAAGTTTTAACAGTGCGATGTCGTTCAAGTAGGTTTGATTGTCATAATCCTTGCGTGTAATATATTTACTAACATGGGTAACTGTTAATTTTGCAAGAACAGTTGCTCCATAAAAAGCCAGGATGTCAACGTTTTCTCCTACACAATGTGCAGCCGTTAGTATCCACTCTCTGGTTAGAATTGAGCCACCACACATTCCAGCCATACTAAATAACCAAACTTGCCATGGCCAGGCCTTCTCGGGAGCGTCGTTGCCATTGACGATTTGTTGTGATTGGTCGTTGACAGACACCCCACATTCTCCTTGCTGTAATAATGGCGGCGTGGGTAAGTTTTTGTCTAGTGTTGGTGGGGGGTAACTGTAATGGTAATATTGTCTGTATATATCTAAGGGAAGCTGAATGGTTGAACAGTATTCGTTTTCTGGTTTTATCAAAGGAAGCGCGACACAGCATAGGAATATCTGGGAAGTTAAAAACAACAATGTTAAAATACTCGTATAAAAATTTACTTCGGCTTTCTATTTATCTTAAGACGGAGTGGTCTAGCGGTAGAGAGCTGGACTGCTAACCCGTAAGTCTCGAGTTCGAACCCGGGTTCAAGTAAGTAGACTGTCCCTGAGTCCACCCAACTCTCACGTTAGGGAAAGTAAAGGTGGCTGGGCATAGTGCTGACAACACTATCTCTTCATATTCCGAGGTCACAGAAACATGTGAACTCTACTTCACTTGCCCCATAGACCGTCAGGTTTGAAAGGGAAACTTTAGTTTTTTTTTTTTTTTTTTTTTTTTTTTTTTTTTTTTTTTTTTTTTTTGCTATTTATCTTAATTCAATTCCATGTTCATACAAGAACACACTACAGGAACAAACTACAAGGCAGCAGGTATTGATTCTTGAGATTCCTATCTCTGATAGGTTGCTGCCTCCAGCTATTTAGCCCCATGTGCGAGTGGATCTGAACTCGGACCGTTTGAAGTTAACAATCATACACCCTCGCCCTTCTCAAGGTGTCCCCACTGAGAGCTTAACACAGGACATATTTACATCAACATTTGGATGCAGGAATGCAGGTACATTTCAATGATATTGACTAGGTCAACATGTTAGAGTCATTTTGAGACTTTAATAATGGACAGGAGTAGATGACAGATCCTATACTGGGCGATTAAAATTAATGTAACCTTAAGAATACTGACAATGAAGATTAAAACTGTCATTTAAGTTTACAACACAACAAAGTTATTAAAACGTAAAAAGAAAATTTCTACTTTTAAAAAAATTACCAAATAAGAAATGCGTAGATTCATATTGTCTTTTGCATACTTTTCGACATTGCATAGGAAACGTCAAACATGATATTCTGTAATAAAATCAATATTAATTATTAAACACAGTTCAACTATTAAGTTATTTCATTTATAAACTAAATCTCCATCTTAAAAAAAATATTCCCGGGGTTTTACATTTTGTCTAGACCCGTTTTAAAACCACTCACTTCCACAAAACATAGCATGTAAATTAAAAAATAACTCCGACCATCTATGGCGTTTAGCAACTCATGAATGGAAACCTAACCCAGTCAAGAAACATAGCTTTACAATATTACAATTCAGATTTCATTCCACACTTCAAAACCTATTCAACCGATCTTCATTGATCACTTAATCTTTAATCATCTGTAATTCATCCAAATTGACAGAATTATGATATTATGTCACTACTTTGAACTGGACCTCTAGTTTAGCAGCAACCATCGACTGATCATCTAGACTAGCAGCTATAATCAATTGGTCATCTAGACTAGCAGCTATAATCAACTGGTCATCTAGACTAGCAGCTATAATCAATTGGTCATCTAGACTAGCAGCTACCATCAACTGGTCATCTAGACTAGCAGCTACCATCAATTGGTCATGTAGATTAGCTACCATCAACTGGTCATCTAGACTAGCAGCTACCATCAACTGGTCATCTAGACTAGCAGCTACCATCAACTGGTCATCTAGACTAGCTACCATCAACTGTTCATCTAGACTAGCTACCATCAACTGGTCATCTAGACTAGCAGCTACCATCAATTCGTCATCTAGACTAGTTACCATCAACTGGTCATGTAGATTAGCTACTATCAATTGGTCATCTAGAATAGCTACCAATAACTAGTCATCTAGACTAGCTACCATCACTGGTCATCTACACTAGCAGCTACCATCAACTGGTCATCTAGACTAGCTACCATCAACTGGTCATCTAGACAAGCTACCATCAACTGGTCATCTAGACTAGCAACTACCATCAACTGGTCGTTTAGACTAGCAACTACCATCAACTGGTCGTCTAGACTAGCAGCTACCATCAATGATCATCTAGACTAGCTACCATCAACTGGTCATCTAGACTAGCTACCATCAACTGGTCATCTAGACTAGCAGCTACCATCAACTGGTCATCTAGATTAGCTACCATCAACTGGTCATCTAGACTAGCAGCTACTATCAACTGGTCATCTAGACTAGCTACCATCAACTGGTCATCTAGACCAGCTACCATCAACTGGTCGTCTAGACTAGCAACTACCATCAACTGGTCGTCTAGACTAGCAGCTACCATCAACTGGTCATCTAGACTAGCTACCATCAACTGGTCATCTAGACTAGCAACTACCATCAACTGGTCGTCTAGACTAGCAGCTACCATCAACTGGTCATCTAGACTAGCTACCATCAACTGGTCATCTAGACTAGCAACTACCATCAACTGGTCGTCTAGACTAGCAACTACCATCAACTGGTCGTCTAGACTAGCAGCTACCATCAACTGGTCACCTAGACTAGCTACCATCAACTGGTCATCTAGACTAGCTACCATCAACTGGTCATCTAGACTAGCAGCTACCATCAACTGGTCATCTAGACTAGCTACCATCAACTGGTCATCTAGACTAGCAACTACCATCAACTGGTCGTCTAGACTAGCAACTACCATCAACTGGTCGTCTAGACTAGCAGCTACCATCAACTGGTCACCTAGACTAGCTACCATCAACTGGTCATCTAGACTAGCTACCATCAACTGGTCATCTAGACTAGCAGCTACCATCAACTGGTCATCTAGACTAGCAGCTACCATCAACTGGTCATCTAGACTAGCTACCATCAACTGGTCATCTAGACTAGCTACCATCAACTGGTCATCTAGACTAGCAGCTACCATCAACTGGTCATCTAGACTAGCTACCATCAACTGGTCATCTAGACTAGCAGCTACCATCTACTGGTCATCTAGATAGGCTACCATCAACTGGTCATCTAGACTAGCTACCATCAACTGGTCATCTAGACTAGCAACTACCATCAACTGGTCGTCTAGACTAGCAGCTACCATCAACTGGTCATCTAGACTAGCTACCATCAACTGGCCATCTAGACTAGCAGCTACCATCAACTGGTAATCTAGACTAGGTACCATCAACTGGTCATCTAGACTAGCTACCATCAACTGGTCATCTAGATTAGCAGCTACCATAAACCGGTCATCTAGATTAGCTACCACCAACTGGTCATCTAGACTAGCAGCTACCATCAACTGGTCATCTAGACTAGCTACCATCAACTGGCCATCTAGACTAGCAGCTACCATCAACTGGTAATCTAGACTAGGTACCATCAACTGGTCATCTAGACTAGCTACCATCAACTGGTCATCTAGATTAGCAGCTACCATAAACCGGTCATCTAGATTAGCTACCACCAACTGGTCATCTAGACTAGCAGCTACCATCAACTGGTCATCTAGACTAGCTACCATCAACTGATCATCTACACTAGCAGCTACCATCAACTGGACATCTAGACTAGCTACCATCAACTGGTCATCTAGACTAGCTACCATCAACTGGTCACCGAGACTAGCTACCATCAACTGGTCATCTAGACTAGTAGCTACCATCAACTGGTCATCAAGACTAGCTACCATCAACTGGTCATCTAGACTAGCAGCTACCATCAACTGGTCATCTAGACTAGAAAGCTACAATCAACTGGTCATCTAGATTAGCTACCATCAACTGGTCATCTAGACTAGCTACCATCAACTGGTCATCTAGACTAGCAGCTACCATCAACTGGTCATCTAGACTAGCAGCTACCATCAACTGGTCATCTAGACTAGCTACCATCAACTGGCCATCTAGACTAGCTACCATCAACTGGTCGTCTAGACTAGCTACCATCAACTGGTCATCTAGACTAGCTACCATCAACTAGTCATCTAGACTAGCTACCATCAACTGGCCATCTAGACTAGCAGCTACCATCAACTGGTCATCTAGACTAGCAGCTACCATCAACTTGTCATCTAGACTAGCTACCATCAACTGGTCATCTAGATTAGCAGCAACCATCAATCGGTCATCTAGACTAGCTACCATCAACTGGTCATCTAGACTAGCAGCTACCATCAACTGGTCATCTAGACTAGCTACCATCAACTGGTCATCTAGACTAGCTACCATCAACTGGTCATCTAGACTAGCAGCTACCATCAACTGGTCATCTAGACTAGCAGCTACCATCAACTGGTCATCTAGATTAGCTACCATCAACTGGTCATCTAGACTAGCTACCATCAACGGGTCACCGAGACTAGCTACCATCAACTGGTCATCAAGACTAGTAGCTACCATCAACTGGTCATCTAGACTAGCAGCTACCATCAACTGGTCATCTAGACTAGCTACCATCAACTGGTCATCTAGACTAGCAACTACCATCAACTGGTCGTCTAGACTAGCAACTACCATCAACTGGTCGTCTAGACTAGCAGCTACCATCAACTGGTCACCTAGACTAGCTACCATCAACTGGTCATCTAGACTAGCTACCATCAACTGGTCATCTAGACTAGCAGCTACCGTCAACTGGTCATCTAGATTAGCTACTATCAACTGGTCATCTAGACTAGCTACCATCAACTGGTCATCTAGACTAGCAGCTACCATCAACTGGTCATCTAGACTAGCTACCATCAACTGGTCATCTAGACTAGCAGCTACCATCAACTGGTCATCTAGACTAGCTACCATCAACTGGTCATCTAGACTAGCAGCTACCATCAACTGGTCATCTAGACTAGCAGCTACCATCAACTGGTCATCTAGACTAGCCGCTACCATCAACTGGTCATCTAGACTAGCTACCATCAACTGGCCATCTAGACTAGCTACCATCAACTTGTCATCTAGACTAGCAGCTACCATCAACTGGTCGTCTAGACTAGCAGCTACCATCAACTGGTCGTCTAGACTAGCAGCTACCATCAACTGGTCATCTAGACTAGCTACCATCAACTGGCCATCTAGACTAGCTACCATCAACTTGTCATCTAGACTAGCAGCTACCATCAACTGGTCGTCTAGACTAGCAGCTACCATCAACTGGTCATCTAGACTAGCAGCTACCATCAACTGGTCGTCTAGACTAGCAGCTACCATCAACTGGCCATCTAGACTAGCAGCTACCATCAACTGGTCATCTAGACTAGCTACCATCAACTGGTCATCTAGACTAGCAGCTACCATCAACTGGTCATCTAGACTAGCTACCATCAACTGGTCATCTAGATTAGCAGCTACCATCAACTGGTCATCTAGATTAGCAGCTACCATCAACTGGTCATCTAGACTAGCAACTACCATCAACTGGTCATCTAGATTAGCAGCTACCATCAACTGGTCATCTAGATTAGCAGCTACCATCAACTGGTCATATAGACTAGCTACCATCAACTGGTCATCTAGACTAGCTACCATTAACTGGTCATCTATACTAGCTACCATCAACTGGCCATCTAGACTAGCAGCTACCATCAACTGGTCATCTAGATTAGCTACCATCAACTGGTCATCTAGATTTGCAGCTACCATCAACTGGTCATCTAGACTAGCTACCATCAACTGGTCATCTAGACTAGCTACCATCAACTGGTAATCTAGACTAGCTACCATCAATTGGTCATCTAGACTAGCAGCTACCATCAACTGGTCATCTAGACTAGCAACTACCATCAACTGGTCATCTAGATTAGTAGCTACCATCAACTGGTCATCTAGATTAGCAGCTACCATCAACTGGTCATCTAGACTAGCTACCATCAACTGGTCATCTAGACTAGCTACCATCAACTGGTCATCTAGACTAGCTACCATCAACTGGTCATCTAGACTAGCAGCTACCATCAACTGGTCATCTAGACTAGCTACCATCAAATGGTCATCTAGACTAGCTACCATCAACTGGTCATCTAGACTAGCAGCTACCATCAACTGGTCATCTAGACTAGCTACCATCAACTGGTCATCTAGACTAGCTACCATCAACTGGTCATCTAGACTAGCTACCATCAACTGGTCATCTAGACTAGCAGCTACCATCAACTGGTCATCTAGACTAGCTACCATCAACTGGTCATCTAGACTAGCAGCTACCATCAACTGGTCATCTAGACTAGCAGCTACCATCAACTGGTCATCTAGACTAGCTACCATCAACTGGTCATCTAGACTAGCTACCATCAACTGGTCATCTAGACTAGCTAACATCAACTGGTCATATAGACTAGCTACCATCAACTGGTCACCTAGACTAGCAGCTCCCATCAACTGGTCATCTAGACTAGCTACCATCAACTGGTCATCTAGACTAGCAGCTACCATCAACTGGTCATCTAGTATAGCAGCTACCATCAACTGGTCATCTAGATTAGCTACCATCAGCTGGTCATCTAGACTAGCTACCATCAACTGGTCATCTAGACTAGCAGCTACCATCAACTGGTCATCTAGATTAGCTACCATCAACTGGTCATCTAGACTAGCTACCATCAACTGGTCATCTAGATTAGCAGCTACCATCAACTGGTCATCTAGATTAGCTACCATCAACTGGTCATCTAGACTAGCAGCTACCATCAACTGGTCATCTAGATTAGCTACCATCAACTGGTCATCTAGACTAGCAGCTACCATCAACTGGTCATCTAGACTAGCTACCATCAACTGGTCATCTAGACTAGCAGCTACCATCAACTGGACATCTAGACTAGCAGCTACCATCAACTGGTCATCTAGACTAGCAGCTACCATCAACTGGTCATCTAGACTAGCTACCATCAACTGGTCATCTAGACTAGCAGCTACCATCAACTGGTCATCTAGACTAGCTACCATCAACTGGTCATCTAGACTAGCTACCATCAGCTGGTCATCTAGACTAGCTACCATCAACTGGTCATCTAGACTAGCAGCTACCATCAACTGGTCATCTAGACTAGCTACCATCAACTGGTCATCTAGACTAGCTACCATCAACTGGTCATCTAGACTAGCTACCATCAACTGGTCATCTAGACTAGCTACCATCAACTGGTCATCTAGACTAGCAGCTACCATCAACTGGTCATCTAGACTAGCTACCATCAAATGGTCATCTAGACTAGCTACCATCAACTGGTCATCTAGACTAGCAGCTACCATCAACTGGTCATCTAGACTAGCTACCATCAACTGGTCATCTAGACTAGCTACCATCAACTGGTCATCTAGACTAGCTACCATCAACTGGTCATCTAGACTAGCAGCTACCATCAACTGGTCATCTAGACTAGCTACCATCAACTGGTCATCTAGACTAGCAGCTACCATCAACTGGTCATCTAGACTAGCAGCTACCATCAACTGGTCATCTAGACTAGCTACCATCAACTGGTCATCTAGACTAGCTACCATCAACTGGTCATCTAGACTAGCTACCATCAACTGGTCATCTAGACTAGCTACCATCAACTGGTCACCTAGACTAGCAGCTACCATCAACTGGTCATCTAGACTAGCTACCATCAACTGGTCATCTAGACTAGCAGCTACCATCAACTGGTCATCTAGTATAGCAGCTACCATCAACTGGTCATCTAGATTAGCTACCATCAGCTGGTCATCTAGACTAGCTACCATCAACTGGTCATCTAGACTAGCAGCTACCATCAACTGGTCATCTAGATTAGCTACCATCAACTGGTCATCTAGACTAGCTACCATCAACTGGTCATCTAGATTAGCAGCTACCATCAACTGGTCATCTAGATTAGCTACCATCAACTGGTCATCTAGACTAGCAGCTACCATCAACTGGTCATCTAGATTAGCTACCATCAACTGGTCATCTAGACTAGCAGCTACCATCAACTGGTCATCTAGACTAGCTACCATCAACTGGTCATCTAGACTAGCAGCTACCATCAACTGGACATCTAGACTAGCAGCTACCATCAACTGGTCATCTAGACTAGCAGCTACCATCAACTGGTCATCTAGACTAGCTACCATCAACTGGTCATCTAGACTAGCAGCTACCATCAACTGGTCATCTAGACTAGCTACCATCAACTGGTCATCTAGACTAGCTACCATCAGCTGGTCATCTAGACTAGCTACCATCAACTGGTCATCTAGACTAGCAGCTACCATCAACTGGTCATCTAGACTAGCTACCATCAACTGGTCATCTAGACTAGCTACCATCAACTGGTCATCTAGACTAGCTACCATTAACTGGTCATCTAGACTAGCACCACCAATCAATTACATCTGAAACTAGATTACACATTTGATTTTTTTTTGGGATTACCTGCTCTTGTTATTTTAGCGCACACACACTTATCTTTGGTTCGCTATAAAATTATATTTCAGAAACAACACCTAAACTTTACAAGCGAGATCTCAAGAATATCGCGTATTATTCCATATTATAATTATAATGCCTTTTTTATAATATGTATGATGATGTCATATCAACGTAATATAATATAAAGGTGGGGGTCAGATTATTATTACTACGCAATGAGTAAATTAACAGTTTAGTAATTAGTAAAATCGAAACGTGTGATTGGATTACTTTGCGGCTAAATGCAATGAATGGGTTTTCCCTACCAATTTTGTAGAACCGAAACCTGTAGTTAGATCACTATTATTGCTGAGTGAGTTGTAACTCATCAGTACGAGATAGATACATAGATCTATATGAACAAAGCTGAAAGGAAATCTTCAGCTGAATTAAACATTTGATTTCGAATTACTTCCCGTAAGCGTTGTTTTTTATAAACATATCTTTTTATCTCCATAGTACTATTCTCTCTCTACATCTACTTCCGCTACAAAAAATGACGTCTGTTTTGTTGATGTGTCTTTTGGTGCGGTATTTTTGTGCTAAACTGATCTTTGTGTGTTTTGCAAGTAAATTGAGCAGACTTTATGAAGGGCTGTATGCGTGTTCCAGAAAGGTATTGTTTGCTTGTATTTTAGATCCATTACCCATAAGTGAAAGATATGCTCGTAAAAGTAAAGTGTTATATATTCTATTTGGTGCATTTAATTTTGTCATCCAAATTATACAAGTGTTATAATGATCTTTCGTATGTTATGGCAGTGGTCAGAGCAACGCATTGGTGGCAGTGCCGGCACCAGGTTATTTAGCGCCCTAGGCAAAACTTATTAAAAATGCCCCTCCACAATTTTTTTCGTGCCCCCGGGGACAAACTTTCGATTTGCAGCCCCCTCGAACTTTCGATTTGCACCCCCTCCCCCTCAAACTTTCGATTTGCACCCCCTCCCCCTCAAACTTTCGATTTGCACCCCCCCCCCTCAAACTTTCGATTTGCACCCCCTCCCCCTCAAACTTTCGATTTGCACCCCCCCCCCCCCTCAAACTTTCGATTTGCACCCCCCCCCCCCCCACACCTCAAGATTTCGATTTGCACCCCCCCCCCTCTAACTTTCGATTTGCACCCCCCCCCACACCTCAAGATTTCGATTTGCACCCCCCCCCCCCTCAAACTTTCGATTTGCACCCCCCCCCCCCTCAAACTTTCGATTTGCACCCCCCCCCCACACCTCAAGATTTCGATTTGCACCGCCCCCTCAATCTTTCGATTTACACCCCCCCCCCCACCCTCAAGCTTTCAGTTTATTTTTCCAACCCGTTTTGGCGCCCCCTAAGATCGGCGCCCGGGAACATATGTCCCCCCTTCCACCCCAAATCTACGCCTCTGCCATTCACCGACTCCATGTTTTACATTGATTCCATAAAATCTCATTCCTCCGTCTAAACCTTTAAAGTTTACACTAGACTCATATTATGTTCATTAAAAAAAAAAACGAAAAAGAAAACCCAAACTCAAGTCGGAATTAAAAACGATACAAATAATTGTAATTATTATGATTTAATTATAAACTATCAAATTTCAAGTTTGAACTACAAGTCGGTGTAACCGTACTATAATACTATATATTTTAACCGTAAATAAATGAGTTTATACTCAAAAGGAGACGCTATTGTGTCAACTCAGATAGCTGTCAAGAGCGACAGTATGGTAGAGCCAGTCTAAATAGGATTTGATAGACACGTAGACAGCGGGGAAGGCGCCATTGTTGCAGCTGTCCTTCACAAAGCTGGTGACGCCCACAAGATAGAACCGACCATCGTGCAAACAGCTGAGCGGCCCGCCGGAATCCCCAACACAAACAGCCTGGCCGGGCTCGGTGTCTAAGCACACGCTGTCGCTGTCCATGTAGACGGCAGCCGCGCGGTAGATGAAGTCACACATCGTTTGGTTCATCACCCCCACACGTAGCTGCTGTAGGGTCGGGGGTAGCACCACGGGGAGGTTGAGTTCCACGGTGGATCCGAACCCCGTGACGTAACAGGTCGCCGATTCGGTGGAGACGTGCTCCGACAGACAGATAGGGAGGACGGAGTCTGAGAATTGCAGGGATTCGTTAAGCTTGATCAGCGCGATGTCGTGACGGAACGACTCGGAGTTGTACGCTTCGTGTCTGACGATGTACTCGCTGGTCCGCGCTGTGGTGTAGATGGAGTCGTTCACCGTTTTGTTCAGTTGTCTGACCCCGAATAGCAACGTGACTGGGTTTTGGAGAATACAATGAGCCGCCGTGACCACCCATAAATCCGACAGCACGGTTCCGCCACAAATTTTAGAGCTTTGAACGAAGATCGCTACCTGCCAAGGCCAAGCGTCTACCGGTGCGTCTTTCCCGTTGATGATCATGTTGGAGACGTCATGGGCGGGCAGGCCGCATTCGTGGGCAAGCAAGGCTTCGGGTTTGGCGTACATAAGGCCGGGGAACGGAGGATTCTTGCCGCGGAAGGCTTTGTAGACGGATTGGTAAAGTTCTAGAGGGAACTGCTTTTTGGCGGTGAGGGTGCAAGGTTTGGTGAACATGAATCTACAGCAGGCGTAGCTCAGGTGGGGAAGGCATGTCAGCAGTGCCTGTAGGGTTGGAGGGGGGAGGGGGAAGATGTACATACATCAGATAAACAAATTTAGAGATTAATGGTAGATTTTTACGTCGGAACAAAAGCTGGTCACACGTCAAGTTCTTTTACATAACAAATACAGATTAACATACATTTATACATACACATATTATTTATACATTTATGTAAAATTATAATTTATATAAAATTATAATTTATATATATATATATATATATATATATATATATATATATATATATATATATATATATATATATATATATATATATATATATATATATATATATATATATATATATATATATATATATATATATATATATATATATATATATATATATATATATATATATATATATTTTTTTATCTTCTCAGATGTTTGAATTTCCTAACAGGCCTAGGCATACACGTTGATGTAATGTAATATTAATGTTGAAATTAAAGTATTTAAAAATAAATTTTAAAAAATAAAAATAAAAAAATTAGTTTAAGGCTACATTTCTAATATTTTCATTAAGCCTTCGTATGATATAGTATATGCTAGCCGATCGAATAGCAGGATGTCTTCGTTTATGTCGCCATTACCTCAATCAAAACCAAAGAAAATAAAAGTGTAATGTGTATTGTGTGCGCGGTGTTGTAAATGACTTATACCAGGATATGTGTTTTTAACAAAACGACCGCGCGGCATGATCATAATTACTGCGTGGCAAAAGTTGTTAATAACGGGCATACTCACAAGAAATAGAGCTGAGAATATATGTGGTGACATCTTCAATTGAAAACTGTCCACGGAGTTAAGAAGGCCCGATGGATAACTATCTTGTGCGAAAGAGGATGGCGTTTCCTGGGACGAAGCTGCTAAGATAATCTGGAACTAAAAGTTATAAAACTAAAGGTGCGGCATTGAGCTGGTTTTGGATCAGGGGCTAGGCCACCGTTATGTGTAGGCGTCACTGACCTAGGCTTGCGGCATGTTTAGGCTAGTGGTAGACTTAGGCTGGTGGGGGTCTAGGCAGGTGGAAGACATAGGCAGGTGGAAGACATAGGCTAGTTAAATATCTAGACCTAGGTTAGTGTGAGACCTAGGTTAGTGTGAGACCTAGGTTAGTGTGAGACCTAGGTTAGTGTGAGACCTAGTTTAGTGTGAGACCTAGGTTAGTGTGAGACCTAGGTTAGTGTGAGACCTAAGTTAGTGTGAGACCTAGGTTAGTGTGAGACCTAGGTTAGTGTGAGACCTAGTTTAGTGTGAGACCTAGGTTAGTGTGAGACCTAGGTTAGTGTGAGACCTAAGTTAGTGTGAGACCTAGGTTAGTGTGAGACCTAGGTTAGTGTGAGACCTAGGTTAGTGTGAGACCTAGGTTAGTGTGAGACCTAGGTTAGTGTGAGACCTAGGTTAGTGTGAGACCTAGGTTAGTGTGAGACCTAGGTTAGTGTGAGACCTAGGTTAGTGTGAGACCTAGGTTAGTGTGAGACCTAGGTTAGTGTGAGACCTAGGTTAGTGTGAGACCTAGGTTAGTGTGAGACCTAGGTTAGTGTGAGACCTAGGTTAGTGTGAGACCTAGGTTAGTGTGAGACCTAGGTTAGTGTGAGACCTAGGTTAGTGTGAGACCTAGGTTAATGTGAGACCTAGGTTAGTGTGAGACCTAGGTTAGTGTGAGACCTAGGTTAGTGTGAGACCTAGGTTAGTGTGAGACCTAGGTTAGTGTGAGACCTAGGTTAGTGTGAGACCTAGGTTAGTGTGATACCAAGCTTAGTTTGAGACATATGTTAGTATCAGACGTAGGTTAGTGTGAGACCTAGGCTACTTTAAGACAGATTATTGTGAGACCGCTGTCGTATCATACCTAAGTTAGTGTGAGACCTAAGTTAGTGTGAGACCTAAGTTAGTGTGAGACCTAGGTTAGTGTGAGACCTAGGTTAGTGTGAGACCTAGGTTAGTGTGAGACCTAGGTTAGTGTGAGACCTAGGTTAGTGTGAGACCTAAGCTAGTGTGAGACCTAGGTTAGTGTGAGACCTAGGTTAGTGTGAGACCTAAGCTAGTGTGAGACCTAGGTTAGTGTGAGACCTAGTTTAGTGTGAGACCTAGGTTAGTGTGAGACCTAGGTTAGTGTGAGACCTAGGTTAGTGTGAGACCTAGGTTAGTGTGAGACCTAGGTTAGTGTGAGACCTAGGTTAGTGTGAGACCTAGGTTAGTGAGAGACCTAGGTTAGTGTGAGACCTAGGTTAGTGTGAGACCTAGGTTAGTGTGAGACCTAGGTTAGTGTGAGACCTAGGTTAGTGTGAGACCTAGGTTAGTGTGAGACCTAGGTTAGTGTGAGACCTAGGTTAGTGTGAGACCTAGGTTAGTGTGAGACCTAGGTTAGTGTGAGACCTAGGTTAGTGTGAGACCTAGGTTAGTGTGAGACCTAGGTTAGTGTGAGACCTAGGTTAGTGTGAGACCTAGGTTAGTGTGAGACCTAGGTTAATGTGAGACCTAGGTTAGTGTGAGACCTAGGTTAGTGTGAGACCTAGGTTAGTGTGAGACCTAGGTTAGTGTGAGACCTAGGTTAGTGTGAGACCTAGGTTAGTGTGAGACCTAGCTTAGTGTGATACCAAGCTTAGTTTGAGACATATGTTAGTATCAGACGTAGGTTAGTGTGAGACCTAGGCTACTTTAAGACAGATTATTGTGAGACCGCTGTCGTATCATACCTAAGTTAGTGTGAGACCTAAGTTAGTGTGAGACCTAAGTTAGTGTGAGACCTAGGTTAGTGTGAGACCTAGGTTAGTGTGAGACCTAGGTTAGTGTGAGACCTAGGTTAGTGTGAGACCTAGGTTAGTGTGAGACCTAAGCTAGTGTGAGACCTAGGTTAGTGTGAGACCTAGGTTAGTGTGAGACCTAAGCTAGTGTGAGACCTAGGTTAGTGTGAGACCTAGGTTAGTGTGAGACCTAGGTTAGTATCAGACCTAGGTTAGTGTGAGACCTAGGTTAGTGTGAGACCTAGGTTAGTGTGAGACCTAGGTTATTGTGAGACCTAGGTTAGTGTGAGACCTAGGTTAGTGTGAGACCTAGGTTAGTTTGAGACCTAGGTTAGTGTGAGACCTAGGTTAGTGTGAGACCTAGGTTAGTGTGAGACCTAAGTTAGTATCAATCCTAGGTTAGTGTGAGACCTAGGTTAGTGTGAGACCTAGGTTAGTGTGAGACCTAGGTTAGTGTGAGACCTAGGTTAGTGTGAGACCTAGGTTAGTGTGAGACCTAGGTTAGTGTGAGACCTAGGTTAGTGTGAGACCTAGGTTAGTGTGAGACCTAGGTTAGTGTGAGACCTAGGTTAGTGTGAGACCTAGGTTAGTGTGAGACCTAGGTTAGTGTGAGACCTAGGTTAGTGTGAGACCTAGGTTAATGTGAGACCTAGGTTAGTGTGAGACCTAGGTTAGTGTGAGACCTAGGTTAGTGTGAGACCTAGGTTAGTGTGAGACCTAGGTTAGTGTGAGACCTAGGTTAGTGTGAGACCTAGGTTAGTGTGATACCAAGCTTAGTTTGAGACATATGTTAGTATCAGACGTAGGTTAGTGTGAGACCTAGGCTACTTTAAGACAGATTATTGTGAGACCGCTGTCGTATCATACCTAAGTTAGTGTGAGACCTAAGTTAGTGTGAGACCTAAGTTAGTGTGAGACCTAGGTTAGTGTGAGACCTAGGTTAGTGTGAGACCTAGGTTAGTGTGAGACCTAGGTTAGTGTGAGACCTAGGTTAGTGTGAGACCTAAGCTAGTGTGAGACCTAGGTTAGTGTGAGACCTAGGTTAGTGTGAGACCTAAGCTAGTGTGAGACCTAGGTTAGTGTGAGACCTAGGTTAGTGTGAGACCTAGGTTAGTATCAGACCTAGGTTAGTGTGAGACCTAGGTTAGTGTGAGACCTAGGTTAGTGTGAGACCTAGGTTATTGTGAGACCTAGGTTAGTGTGAGACCTAGGTTAGTGTGAGACCTAGGTTAGTTTGAGACCTAGGTTAGTGTGAGACCTAGGTTAGTGTGAGACCTAGGTTAGTGTGAGACCTAAGTTAGTATCAATCCTAGGTTAGTGTGAGACCTAGGTTAGTGTGAGACCTAGGTTAGTGTGAGACCTAGGTTAGTGTGAGACCTAGGTTAGTGTGAGACCTAGGTTAGTGTGAGACCTAGGGTAGTGTGAGACCTAGGTTAGTGTGAGACCTAGGTTAGTGTGAGACCTAGGTTAGTGTGAGACCTAGGTTAGTGTGAGACCTAGGTTATTGTGAGACCTGGATTAGTTTTTGTCATAACCTGAGCACAGCAGTGGCACGTTTGTATCAGCGAATCAATAGGAGGAAATCCCTGTATTTATTCAGTTTTGTCAAGTTAATAATAACTTACTTTTCACGAAAAAAATTAACACCTATGTTTTTAATAATATGTATAAATCGTCACTTCCTATTCAACTTTAGCGCTCTGGTTTGAGATTATGCCCTTATGCGCAATTTGAAGTTTAGGATATTTTAAAAGTATTTTATTAGGCCCTATCATTACGTGGATGTAGTAGGAATTATACTTTCTCAAAAGAAAAAAAAATCGGCTTGACAAACAGTAAACGAGATCTCGCTAAATTGCCCCGGGTAAATTCCAGTGACCAATGAAACGAACAGCTATGATAAATGCTACTATAATATGAAATTATACATTTATCTATATTCTACATGCATCTGCAACTGGATCTGCATCTGGATCTGGATTTTGATCTTGATCTTAATCCTAACTTGATCTTCATCTTGATCTGGATCTGGGTCTAGATCTTGGTCTAGATATTGATCTTGATCTGGGTCTTGATCTGGATCTTTGTGTGGATCTTTGTCTAGATCTTGATCTTGATCTGGATCTAGATATGTGTCGGGATCTGGATCTGTATGTTTTTTCAACAGTGTTATTCCTATCTCTTGTCAGACACCGATTTCCACTGTATTTCAGATACATTAAATTGCTATACAACAGTTGTTTACAAAATATATTCTTTGATCTCAGTAGTTGTTGATCACCATGTATACCAATCAATACAAGTTTAAGACATCAATACAAGTTTAACACAATTAGTGTGATAGTGACAAGTTATTGGTTTAAATATACATATCTGTAAACAATTATGAAAAAATGCTCAATTTATGACAACACATATTTATTAATTAAATGTTTGTTTTCTACCTTCTTTATTAATTGATAACTTAAACTATAATTTGCCTTATTGTTGTATGCTAATAATCACTGAAAACACCTACTTAGTTATATGAAGTACTTATATGTCACAAAATATTAGCTGATAACACATATATAACAATAGAAAGTGTTTTAGTTGAATAAAATATTAACAGAATGGTATACTGGCCATTAACAGTTAAACAACACCTATTTAATAATACAAAGTGCTTAGGCTACACCGAACGTTTCTTTTAACCCTTTATCTACTGACGGTACTTATAAGTACCACTTTAATTAAGTGCCTGTATTATTTTTAATTTAATACGAATTTTAAAAATTATTGATGTAATTAATAGTATTATCTCCCCTGAGTCGCCGGTAGTTAGAGGGATCGATGCTTTTTGAAAATTTCTGGTTGGCGCCATCTTCAATGTCTTGCTGTATCGGTAGTTCACAATTGTTCTGTACAGTTCTCACACACGTTCATGATTTGCCTTTGTTTTACCTTATTTTTCAAGTTTTCAACCCCAAATATTTTTTTATTGGCACCTTCAATAGTCAGGCAAATGCGTTTAACTTCTAGTTATACAATTTTCATCAAATTGTCTTTGTATTAGATCAATGTTTACAAGTGGACTTATAAGTACCGTCAGGGCACACGGTCATTTTTTTAGGATTTTTAGAAAATGGCAGATTTTCGATGTGGAGTGACATAAATATTATTTTGATAATTAATTATCGAAATGCACTAAAAAAATTATATTTACACATTTATAAGAAGGTTAGCATATGGTTTACCTAAGAAATATTGTAATTACTTGTTGATTTCTAGTAGTAAAAGAATAACAAGAATAAAGGTAGCAGTTGCAGGCTCGTTTACTAGGTTTAGTATACTTTCATGTATACCAAAGTGTAGTTCTAGTATTAAGATTAAATTTGTTAGTTATATTTACTGCAATAAACTGTCTTGCCTACAATAACTAGCATTTACGGAGTGTATACCTGTAGACTATTAATAGTCCATACTTCTGCATATAGTATAGATCTATATGGTAAATGTTAATCAGAAAACAGTAGGCCACTACGGCTATCCTAAACACATTGAGCTCACTTCTATTTATGAACTTTACACTGTGGTGTAGACATGTCATAACATTCTAGTAGGCTACAATTATACTAGTATTACTAGTAGTTGTGTACTGAATGACTAGGCTTTTGTTTGTTTATGCTGCTCATTGTAATAGCTATTTGAAACTTCCAGCAAAAGTATGCTCAGTCCGGCAACCGTTTCTACACCAGAAAGACCACAGACAAGAATGAGGGAGCCTAATATGTCGGCAACTTTTGCTGTGTTTGAGGTCTAAGATGTGTTCCGATAGAAAATCCAGTTAAAATCGTACTCAAAATATACTTTTGTGCTGTATTTATGTGTGAAAATGACACAAATGAGTGTTATAATAATTACCATGTTATTAGTTTGTAACACATATGGTTAACAGCCAAAGGGGGATAAAAATATGAAGTTTTTATTCATTGGGTTGCGGCCCCTGTGGGACTGCAACTGAACTGTTGACGTTTTTTTTATGCTTTTGTGAGCGAAATTACCTGTGTTCCATGTCATGTGACATGGGATTGTGGGTAGTTTCATGCCTAGCCGTGTCGCACACGCAAGGCTGCTGTCTGTGGACCAAGATGTAGACCTAATGAAGGTAGTGTAGATATTTAAATTATGTTTGTTAAAATACTTATTTATGTATTCCTGCTAGTGCTGCATGTGCACACTAGTTAGGGTGATGTATTAAATTAAGTATTTATTTTGTAGTACTACTTATTGGTACTTGTTGGCAGTACTGTGTACTGGCCGAAAACATAATTTATTGTACCCGTGTATATTGTAGCTTACACGTGGTGTTGTCCTGAATGTAACTTTTTTATTTTACATTTGTTTTAGGGCTACAGTTTCTTTCTTTCCTTTTTGGATTGTTTGGTCTATCTTGGCTAGTTCGTTTGTACTACTGTGTTGCATCGCCGTCATGGCTCGATGCTATAAATAAACGAGTACTTGACAACAACTGTCGGTGTCGGTGTGTACTTAATCTCAGGGTCAGCCCGTCTTAACCACAACACCTCAGTGGGTAAAAGCATCCCCACTGAGTGAGGGTTACAAGTTAGTTAATAAATGGTATCGTTTGTTGCTGTTTTGTAAATTTTTTATTTTTTTTGGAAAAAATGTCCTACATTCCCAACGGTGCTTATAAGTACCAATATATGTTTGAGCCATTAAAAATTTATGAAACAAAATTTCCTTCGAAGTATGCTTCAAGTGTGCCAATAGCAATATGATAACACATTGTTTAAGAACAAATTTCATTCAGAACCTAATTCCGTAAATAAAGGGTTAAAGTGTATTTTATTCGCGCGTTCTAAAATTATTGTAGAAAGATTTTTCAAAATTTTACAAAAATCTTGCTGGGTCGCATAACTATATTGACCAAACCTTTTTCTTTTAAAATTACAGCAGACATACTGGCAACAGCCTATAAAAGAGGGGATATTGTTTTCTTATAAACAGAGTTTCTTCCATGCATCTCTTCGGGGGGGGGGGGGGGGTCTTTGCCCCGAAAAATTTTTTCCGCCCCCCCCCCCTCCGAACGAAATGAAATTTATATAATTTATATAGAAAATATATACTTTTAACAGTGTACGCCCCCCCCCCCCCCCGAAGAAAGTCTACCGCCCCCCCCCCCCGAAAATTTCAAGTGCCCCCCCCCGGAGAAAAAAGTCTGGAAGAAACACTGCTTATATAGTCTGCAAGATCCAGTCAATTTTAAAATTGGAAACTGTTTTCTTGTATAGTCTGTAAGATCCGGTCAAATAAAGTGGAAACTGTTTTCTTGTATAGTCTGTAAGATCCGGTCAAATAAAGTGGAAACTGTTTTCTTGTATAGTCTGTAAGATCCGGTCAAATAAAGTGGAAACTGTTTTCTTGTACCGTCTGCAAGCCCAGTCAAGTAAAGTTTTTAAAAAGTAACGATTCCTCTTTAGACCTAAAGATCCATTGCATATAAAGTGAAGTGGATAGCACTATGCCCAGCCGTCTTTACTTTCCCTAAGTCAAGTAAAGTGGAAACTATTTTCTTGTATCGTCTTCAAGATGCAGTCAAGTAAAGTGGAAACTATTTTCTTGTATCGTCTTCAAGAATAGTCAAGTAAAGTGGAAACTATTTTCTTGTATCGTCTTCAAGAATAGTCAAGTAAAGGGGAAACTATTTTCTTGTATCGTCTTCAAGACCCAGTCAAGTAAAGTGGAAACTATTTTCTTGTATCGTTTTCAAAATCCAGTCTGTGTAGCTAGCCACACGCGTGAAGACATCGGGAAAAATTATTTTTCTGCAACCTTTCTCGACGAAACTGGCCACACCATGCACATAATACCTCCCGTTTTCCTTACAACTGAGGGGACCCCCTGAGTCCCCTTTACACACCCCCGCCCCCGGGGACGTGGTGTTAAACTGCAAGCACATGTGTCCTGTCTGGATAGATATGTCGAAGAAGCTCCACAGAAACTCGCATTCTCTCTGAGGGAGAACTTCGGTCTTGAGCTGCTGTAGCATGAGGGTCATGGAGTTCCCGTCGGGGGCGGAATACCCCCAACCTGTTGCGTAACACACGTGACGCGGGTTGTAGACCTGACGCGGCAGGCACGCTGGTCTGACGTCATCGTTGATCGTCACCGGTTCGTTCATCTTGATGAGCCCGATATCGTGCTCTTTTGTGTTCTTGCTGTACCCGGGGTGAACGACCTCGATTATTGCGGACCTGTGTAAGACAGTCGTGCTCCACGCTTGGAAGTTCTTGGTCCCTAGAATAATATCCTGCGTGGTGTCGAAACAATGCGCGGCCGTGACAACCCAAACATCCGTGATCAGCACCCCGCCGCACCAGAATCTTTTTCCTTTCAGGAACACCTGCCACGGCCAGGATTTCAGACCCGCCTCCACCCCATTGATGACGGCACTGTCAGGATCCGCTGCCATTGTGCCGCACTCGACGTCGATGGCCGGCGTCTGGTTCCGGTTGGAGAAATTGACGTCCAGATCGGCTTGGTGCCTGGCAGGCCAGCGGGCTAGCTGGTACTCGGATCTGTAGTCGGCGAGAAAGGTACGGGACTTCTCCACCATCTTGCAGACTTTCTCCGTTCTCGGCAAGCAGAGGTCAGCAGGTAGTGTCAGTGCTGACAGCTGTTGAAGGTAGTTGTTGGTAGTTGAAGGTAGTTGTTGGTAGGTGAAGGTAGTTGTTGGTAGTTGAAGGTAGTTGTTGGTAGTTGTTGGTAGTTGAAGGTAGTTGTTGGTAGGTGAAGGTAGTTGTTGGTAGTTGAAGGTAGTTGTTGGTAGGTGAAGGTAGTTGTTGGTAGGTGAAGGTAGTTGTTGGTAGGTGAAGGTAGTTGTTGGTAGGTGAAGGTAGTTGTTGGTAGGTGAAGGTAGTTGTTGGTAGGTGAAGGTAGTTGTTGGTAGGTGAAGGTAGTTGTTGGTAGGTGAAGGTAGTTGTTGGTAGTTGAAGGTAGTTGTTGGTAGTTGAAGGTAGTTGTTGGTAGTTGAAGGTAGTTGTTGGTAGGTGAAGGTAGTTGTTGGTAGTTGAAGGTAGTTGTTGGTAGGTGAAGGTAGTTGTTGGTAGGTGAAGGTAGTTGTTGGTAGTTGAAGGTAGTTGTTGGTAGTTGAAGGTAGTTGTTGGTAGGTGAAGGTAGTTGTTGGTAGGTGAAGGTAGTTGTTGGTAGGTGAAGGTAGTTGTTGGTAGGTGAAGGTAGTTGTTGGTAGGTGAAGGTAGTTGTTGGTAGGTGAAGGTAGTTGTTGGTAGGTGAAGATAGTTGTTGGTAGGTGAAGGTAATTGTTGGTAGGTGAAGGTAGTTGTTGGTAGTGATAGTTAATGACAATTAATACACAGTTCATGCAAGGAAGGTGAAACGAAGTGAAATGGACACAAAAATGAAGAAGCGGTTAGGTTATATAATTACCTAACTTAGCAGTGTATTAGCAATTTTTTCCGATATATTAAATTCTCTCCCCCCCCCCCCAGCTGTACGGGAAAAAAACAGTAGTTAAATATTACGCCCCCCCCCCCTCACTATCCCGGCTCAATTCAAGTATATTCTTTGTATATAACAGTCCCACTCTCACATGCTTGGGGTGGACAATACCCTCCTGTTGATGTCAAATGGACTCAGAACCTAACCCTAACGCTTAACCTAATCCTAACATTAAGGTAGTGATAAGGGTTAGAGTTAGGGTTATTAAATAGACATCACATTGTCTCTTGCTAAAAAAAAAAAAAAACAACGAAAAACGTCACGAGTTTACAAGTTTTTAGATTATACAATACTATTTTTATAGCTTTCAATGTATTTTTATTTCTATACTTATCTAATTAAGAATAGATTTTAATATATGCAATTTTTTTTAATTGAAATCATTTTTCAAGTCAATGGCCGACACATCATGTTGTTTTATTTTGTGCGTATTTTTTTGTCTTCTGATTTTCTGCATTTATCAACGCAATGAACCGACATCGTACAATTGATACCCTAGGCTGTTAGTCATGTTTGGAGTTTCTTCTGATACTCTCGTGGACCCAGTCTGTGTAGTTTGAGACCCGTGTGTAGACGTCAGGGGCGGAACTTTTGGTGCAGCCACTCTCCACAAAACCCGCCACACCGACTACAACAAAACGGCCGTTGATGAAACAGCTGACAGCGTTACCGGAATCACCGCGACACCCCCCGTATGATTGGTAAAACTCCATGCACACATGCGTGTCCTGGATGCGCATGCCCAGTCGAGCCCAACTTCCGCCGCAGGTTGTTTGGTTCATCTGGCGGGCTCTGATCTGTTGAAGAACGTCTGCGCCTCTCCAGCCATCGGGAGTCTGAACGCCCCATCCTGTCATGTAACAAACTTCCGACTTCTCCATACCATCCTCATCACCAGGCAAACAAACTGGCTTTATGTAATCGTTAAACTCTACTTTAGCGTTGAGTTTTATCAAACCAATGTCCCCGACTTTACTCACTGCGTTGTATGTATACGGGAACAGTGATATCAAAGGCCTTCGCGTTTGCGCATGCGTAGAATCTCCACGCAGATGATGCGTTCCAAATACAACCTCACGTGCGCCTACAAGACAGTGAGCAGCCGTTAGAACCCACTGGTCGGAGATCAGTGCTCCCCCACAGAACCCGTCCCGTCTCCGTATCAAACCCTGCCATGGCCAGCTAAGTTCTGGGGCATCATGCCCGCCCATAATGGCTCCAAACAAATCAGCTTTCATAGTGCCGCACTCGGTTGATATGGGTTCGAATCCAGCGGTTGGCGTGAGAAGGGTGCCGGGATTGTTTTGGTGTCTTGGAGGGGTGGTGTGCGTCTCCAGAGAATGTGCTGGAACAGGATGAGTCTCAGTGACCTTGACCCTGCTGACCAGCCTACAGCCACGGGCGCCGCGTGCGACCAGCACGAGGAGCTGTGAAAGAGTAACGGGCACGTGTCACTACTGGCCTGTTCCAGAACCTTTTGGCTGAAGTAGAGAACTACGGTTTGGGTGAACACTGCTTGATGCACGTGTGTGTGTGTGTGTGTCTGTTTAAGTGTGTGTCTGATTGTGTATATCCGTGCGTGTCTTTGTGTCTGTGTGTCTGTGTGAGTGTGTGTGAGTTAGTGTGTCTGTCTGTGTAAGTGTCTGTCTGATTGTGTACATCCGTGCGTGTGTGTGAGTGTGTGAGTGAGTGTATGTGTTTGAGTGTATGTATCCGCGCGTGTGTATGTGTGTGCGTGTGTGTGTGTGTATGTGTGCGTGTGTGTGCGTATGTGTCCGAGCGTGTGTATGTGTGTGTGTGTGTGTGCATTTACTGCCTCGCCGGTCAAGACACTGCCATGTTCGGACCTTCTAACCCACAACCACCGTCTCTCAACTAGACAACCTCTCCATCTTCCTATCACGCACTAAATGCACTAAAACTCCAAACTGCTACTAATATGGAACAACACTAATGCACTGCACACCTCATTTGCTACAACTATAGATAAAATTTCCACTTTTTCTTAAAATAAATTACATTTTTAATGTATTTTCATCTTTTTCTTACTACTGAACAACAAAAATTGGTAATATTGTTAATAAAACATTTTTTTCACAACACATTCTCGTATTTGTGACACTATCTGTATTCATTGACTTTCATTATGATAAGCTAACAGTCAAAGTCACAGAAACAAGTGAACTCTACTTCACTTGCCCCATAGACCGTCAGGTTTGAAAGGGAAACTTTATTTAACAGTCAAAATAGTGTGTTAGAATATTCATAAGATTAGAAGTCTAATATACCTAATTAAACATAGGGTTCGGTCTATACAGTTAAGTTTATTGTTAACTAGCTGTCAATGTTATAAATAAGAAAACAACATTATAAAACTAAACTTACCAGAACTAAAAACTTAACCATCATTTCCACGACCGAATTCCTTCAATGCAAAATTCTCTAGGCTCAGACGTCTTAATTACTCCGTTAATTACTTACTCAATTAACATGACAAGCTCCTACATTATTACTCGGCCGACTCTGGACTCTACGTCATCCATTTTAGCCGTGTCGAGGCTACCATCCGTTATACTAGATCAAGGTCAAGGTCAAAAGGTTATCTTATAATTGACTCATATTGTCACATTTATTATGGTATTACTGTACTCGACCAGCCACGCCCCGTGGATTAGGAAAACAAGATGTGTGGATTTCTTATACTAGTGTCCGATAATAGAATCTTCTTTAAAAGGGGGTGTTTAGGTTACTGGAAGTTAACTAAATACAAATATATCTTGCTAATATCAATGCTAACCCAACCCCTAACACCAACCCTAGTCCTGCCTTAAGCTTAGCCCTAATGTTTAACTCGAAAACTGATCGAGATTACAATACCACTAACAATCAATCACACTTATTTTCGGAACAGTCTATCGGTTTCCTCATTCGTCACACTTTTGTGACCGTATATAATCATAAAATACATTTGATGAATTAGTTTAACCTGAAGTTTACTCACAGTAAGTGAACAGATGCGGACATAGATGTCAATATCAAAGGTGTTAGTGGTCATTTAATGTTGAAGCCGTAATGGCATAAGGTCTATAACTCATGTTTTCAACCTAACCCATCAGTTGAAGCCCTTATTGAATCCATTAAAACCTGGACTACAAAAAAACATAACTTGACAGTATATTTTAAACATTATTTAAGAAATAGTGGCTTCATTGTTTTGTTTAAGTGTGAGAACTAACTGTTTTGTTTTATCATTTTTAGTGTATTACTGACAGTAGGTCTAGCATCGCAAACGTGACAGAAGGTCTCACATAGCTAACGTGACAGTAGGTCTCACATAGCTAACGTGACAGTAGTTGTCACACCACAAGCGTGACAGTAGGTCTCACATAGCTAACGTGACAGTAAGTGTCACAACGCAAACGTGACAGTAGGTCTCACATAGCTAACGTGACAGTAAGTGTTACAACGCAAACGTGACAGTAGGTCTCACATGGCTAACGTGACAGTAAGTGTCACAACGCAAACGTGACAGTAGATGTCACATCACGAACGTGACAGTAAGTGTGAGGGCGACGGGAATCTAGTACACTCAGGTATACGTTAACACCTACAAACTCTATAGGTTAAGTACAACACCCTGTTTAATCTAAGGAATCTTCGTGTCCATTCATAAAGCAAACGTTTTCATTCTACTCCAACCTTCAACTGTCCTACCCATTCATTCCAACACACCCCCTCTCCCTCGCTCACAACACAACCGCTATCACTCGACCAGTCGCTTCCCGTGTTACCCTCGATCACTCCGTACAACATACACGTCAACACAACCACACTCGCGTATCGCTACAGAATATATACACACACGCAGTGATCCGCCACACGTAGACACCTTTCATACACATTACATCACCACAGTAAGTGTCACATCGCTTACGTGACAGTATGTGTCACATCGCTAACGTGAGGATAGGTGTCACATCGCTTACGTGACAGTAGGTGTCACATCGTAAACCAGTGTTCACGTAGCAATCAACGACATTTCTGTCAACATCGTGAAACTGTTATGCCAAAACTATAAATTTAAATGTGACGTGGTTTTTCATATGTAAGGGAAGTAATCGAATAGTTGTTTTTATTTTTCATTCTCCGTAAATTCACTTCCACGGTGCTTTCCCTTTATAATTGCAAATTTCGCTAATAACAAAATGACAAGAAAGAAAATTCAAAATTCAAACCTAACAAGAAACAGAATAACTATGTTTAAAGGACATGTTAAAAGTATTTTTTTACAACAAGACCTGATTCGTTGTTGTCAGTGGACCTGCGTGGTTAGGCACACTGTTCACACATTCAGTGGCATCTATAGGTCGGGCATCACCCGGTGCAATCCGCCCCCTTGTGATTTTAAAAATAAATGATATGGGGAATAACTCTCGTTGAAATGTGTTTATTTAAAAAGTTATTTTAAATGCAAAACAAGATTTCAAACTATGTAGCCTACATTTACATTAAATTTTACTGTAAATTATAGAATTTCACGAATGAATCAATATTTAATACTAATGTGTTGTTTTGTTTAGATTTGGTAAGCAATTAAAAAAATGAAAAACCATTTGATTATTAGTATTAAACAATTATAAATAAGAAACGAACATTTGTTTAATTACTCGTTTTATTAATATGACTAAATTTTGGCTCCCATAGCAATTATGGGACATAATAAAGAGAAATCAATAAGGAAGCACTCATTATTTAAACAATACACAATGTCTTCAAAATGAATTAACATTAGCATTTGTTAAGGAAATCACATTCAGCAGTGTTGGCATTCTTACAGATTACAAATATCTTAGCTGCCATGTAATTTGTTTTGTAAGTACCATACACTTTTTAATGCAACTTTGCAACATGTGAAGAGTCAATGTGATCATAAAACTGTCAGAACTCTCAATGAGTGTATTCTGTTATTGCCTGCATGAGTGTTTACTTATTGATATATTCTTATTATGTTCAACTGGTTTCTTAAAGTGATTTTCTATACTAAAAAGTGCCTTACATTATAGCAGCTGATTGATCATTCAGTTCATATGAAAATAGGTATTGGTTTATACATTATGTATTACAGTTGCAATAATCTTATGCATTTTATATTTAAATGTTATTGGTTGAATCAGAACAAGCTAAATCAAACATAATTCAAACAACACAACCAACTTGTTTTGAAAATTTGTTTTAATATAAAAATCACCATGTTTTAATGTAATCACTACAAAGATAATAAACCTGACCCTATTTAAAACAAAATTGTAAAATGGTTTTAAAAAATAATTTTTTATATATGAATAAATAAAACACAGATTTGAAAAAAAAAACAAAAAAAACCATAGCAATTATGGGACATGTTGCTCTAAAGATATAATATATGTCAGGGGTCGGCAACCTTTAGAGACAGAAGAGCCAAAAGTTAAAATTTTCAAAATTTCCCAGTTTCTAAAGAGCCACTAACATTTTTATTTCAATATTTAGTATTTGAATAGGATTAGGTAAATTAATTGTATTAATTATTTAAAATAAATACCCTTAAATATGAAATAATATTTATTCATATAAAAACATACACATGTTTCGTCAGAATAATGAACTTAATAATCAAATAGCAAAACTATAGGACCATCGCAATCCACTTTAGAAGCTGTTAGATGTTTTTTTTTTCTTTCCGAATAACACCGGCTCAGAAGGTGTCTCTCATTAGCCAGGCAGGCCCTAACACGAGAAACTCCGACTAACGGGCTAGGGTATCTGATTGATTACCGGGTACCAGTCGCTTTTTGCTCTCGCCAGGCTTAGCTTCCACCCCACTGAACGCAGGGTCAGCTCGTACCCCAGCGTCCAGTACCTGGCTCAACAGTAGGAAGCTAATAACTAAAAAACTACGTCACTGAGGTCAAATTAATGATTACTGACAGATAAGGACATGCTTTCTGAATAAAATAACATTCCCCATTTAACTATCTTCGAAAAAGTCGACACTTCTGCAGTTGCGAGCATGGAATTGTTCCCATGAGGCTGGTTACAGCACGGCTGTGGGGCTGGGCTTGGCGCCCAAGCAGCTGTCAGCTGTCCGTATACACAGTGTTTCTTCCAGACTTTTTTCTCCGGGGGGGGGGAGGGGGCACTTGAAATTTTCGGGGGGGGGCGGTAGACTTTCTTCGGGGGGGGGGGGGGGGGCGGACACTGTTAAAAGTATATATTTTCTATATAAATTATATAAATTTCATTTCGTTCGGGGGGGGGCGGTAAAAAATTTTCGGGGTGGCTTCGCCCCCCGAAGAGATGCCTGGAAGAAACTCTGCGTATACACTCTGCTGCACCTATCCTCACTGTTTTCTGATGTGTGTTTTTATCTTGTTTAAAGATGAGTTTCTTTAAAACATTTGCTGCGAATTTTGAAAATAAAATATAACTATTAATATTTGTGTAAGGATCTAGAGAGCAGCATCTTGACAGCAAAGGGGTCATCCATAAATGACGTCACGCTTTTTTTGACGATTTTTACCTCCCCCCTCCCCTCCGTCACACGTCGTCACAAAAAGCCAGACCCCCCCCCCCCTAAAATGACGTCACACCTCAACCTAGAACCCCCCTCAAAATTGCAGTTGAATTTTTTTAAAACATCGATATTTTTCCAAAATCTTGTCTAAACTATTACAATTTATTAAAACAGTTATCTAAAACGCGAAATAACGTCTAAAATTCGTTTTCTAACATTGCTTTTTTATAATGCAAAAATGTGACGTCGCAACATCTGACCCCCCCCCCCTCCCCCTCATCACACATCGTCACAAAATTACGGACCCCCCCTCCCCCCTACGAGTGTGACGTCATTTATGGATGACCCCAAAGAGCCGCATGCGGCTCGCGAGCCGCAGGTTGCCGACCCCTGTAATATGATGTCCATCCATTCATGACATACATTAATCTTAATCAGCGGGGGTCAATGTGGACGTCCACATGTTGAATTTTACATCAAAATACCCACATCTAAAATTTTAAAGAATAAAAAAAAAAAGATTTTTTTTTAAACTGCATACTATTATAAAATGTACGAGTTAAATCGTGTAAAAAACAAAACACCAACTCAATGGGGAATAAATGTATCTGTATACCGCCCGACTAGTTAAATCGCGGTGAATTTTTGCAATCAGCGAAGGGGTGTGGTCAATTTTCTTAAACAAGCCACGGCACTTCAAGTTTATCTTTAAACATTTGAAAGTATTGAAATATGAGTTTAAAAACAATTAGATCTAGACCTAGGCCCTGATAGATCGGGCAACCAAATCATAGTAGGCCTTCATCGTCATTTTGTGTAAAAGCCTAAGACGTTGTGGATCTAATAATTTTTTTTCAAGTACTAAACTCAAAATAAACACGTTAAAATTAGCTATTTAACGGCGCATGTCGAATATGCTCGCATGGTCAGGTGTGTAAGGCTCACG